TTCTTATGGCTGAGTAATATTCCACTGTATATATGTACCACAGCTTCTTTAGCCAATCATCTATCGTAGGACACTTCATTTGCTTCCATGTCCTGGCCTCTGTGAATAATGCTGCTATGAACATCGGCATGCAAATATCTTTTCGGATATGAGTTTTCAAGTCTTTGATGTTCCTGCTTTAAAACTTGAACATGTCCTTCTAGGCCAGGGTGCTATGGCAAAAAAATTTCAGTTTGCTGGCCTGTTGTGAGTGCACAGGGAATAGCCATTGTCGTTTGAGCACTGGCAGCCTAGCACTGTTCGCCTGTGCCAATGATATTGACATTACATATGAATGTACTGTACCCTGTCTTTGGCAGTGTTGCTTATCTGTCAGTGGACGGTTCTTTCCTTGCTGCGTCACTCTAAGCAATTAAAGGATCGACTAGAGGACTGATGACAGGAATATCATGTTGTTATTCTGACAGTCCAGCAGTACTGAAAGCAGTAAGATAATTTGACTCTACATTCCATTGGTGCTTAAAAAAGTGGTACTTGCTCTTGGAACCTCTCAAGGCTTAAGCCAATGTACCAACTGAAGAAACCAAACTCATAGGGGGTCTGTTAATCTTTAAAGGAGATGGATCAAAAGCAAGTCAACATAGTAGTTACCCCCAGTGACATGAACAAGGCGCTGCATTTTGGATTCAGAATAATGTCGTGTTTGCTATTGCAAAGAGGAGGATGGTAGAGTTGGAAGGTTCCAAAGTGAGGAGAGACCTTTGCCAAATGAGTCAATTCCTAAACCTCACTTTCCCATGTAAAAGATGAGGGCTGCATCAGATGAGTGCTTCTTAAGTGTGGCCAAAGAAGAATTATTTGTTAGTCTGAATTGTGGGGGTGGGGGGTAGGGTGAGCCAGAGGGGAGAAGGGAGGAACGGGGGGCACTTCGTAATCATATCTTCTTTCAAATCCATCTGTATGATTCTGATTTGCATCCTGGGTGAACGATTGGGCCAAATGATCTCTAAATTTCTTTGCAATTGTGTTTTAGAATCTATCTATCTATATATATCTATATATACACACATGTTTTATTTTGTCATCAAATGGTAATCTCAATCTATGAAAACATGGGAGGTACCCAGGAAAACTGCATAACTCTGGAAATGGCCAAAGCCATCACCTTAAATACCATCTCCTAAAGATAAAGGAAGATGTTGGGGGTAGGTAAGTCCCTTACTGGAGGTTTTCAGGCAAAGCTCAGTAAAGAAGAGTACCGTTGTTACGCAGATTTAAGTCCTTGCCTTCTCCATTGGTGAGTTTCTAGAGATTTAGAGTCATCCTCCTCTTCCTGGTACTGAAAGGAAGACACCCTTAAAGATAGAGATTGCCCTTATATATGTAAATGTCTCTTACAGAAGAGTAACTTCTACTCAGTTTTCAGAGATTTTCCTGTTTGCTGTTTCTTAAAAATAATTTGCCTAAAATAATCCTTAGGTCAAAGAGACATATGTTGGGGTGGCAAATTCTGTACCCTTTTAACCTACAGGTTATTTAGACAAAATATTGGTACATGTCTATTGTTTAGCTGTTAACGGTTTTCATTTGTATCAATAAGAATTTTGTAGAAAAACGATCAGAACACACACATAGACATATAGGTGTACGTTTATTTCAAGGAATTGGCTTATGCATTTGAAATTGTGGGAGCTGACCAATCTGAAACTTAGGCAGGAGTCTTGAGACAGAATTTCTTCTTTTTAAGAGGAACTTCAATTTTACCCTTAATCCATTTCCCGTTTGCTCCAAGAGTATTCGCTGGCTGCGCGTTTACCCCGAGATAACTCGCAGATTACAGTTCTAACCTTACCCCCAAAGTTTGCCACAAAACATCTCGCTTTTATTATTACTTTTGCATAGCTCTAGTATATCAATAGTCTTTGAAAACAAATGACATCATTCCATTTATAGCATTCTGTTTTTAGTAGTGGTATTTCCACTTACAAAATATAGTAATTCTCGATCGCTGAAAATGTCAAATCCTAGAAAACGTAGCATTCCCACGCGTGATGTTAACATCATTCTCGAACAGTCGTTAGCCAGAGATTCATTTGATGAATCCGATTTATGTATACACTTCTGTTACATTAGGATTAGAGACAAGTTCTGTTTAGAAATAACTCCCGAGAACAGTTTTTATATTTTCACATTGAAAACCAGTCAGATTTGTTTCAGTCTCAAAGAGTGTTTTTATGTAAAATTAAATTATAGGTAGCAGCGAGCTGCACTTTTTTTTTCTAAGTGGGAAATGGGTTAATCTCTCCACGTATTTGTGGTTCTTCCCGCTCTCTTTTTACAATTGATCTCCAGTTTCAAAGCATTATGATCAGAGAATATGCTTGATATGATTTTAATCTTCTTAAATTTGTCAAAGCTAGTTTTGCGTTCCAACATATGGTCCATCCTTGAGAATGTTCCATGTGCACTAGAGAAGAATACATAAGCAGCTGTTTGGGAATGAAAGGCTCTGTAAATGCCGATTATGTCCGGTTGGTCTAAGGTATCATTTAAGATTGTTATTTTCTTATTTGTTTTCTGCTTGGATGATCTATCTATAGCCAGCAGTGGGGTATTTAGGTCCCCTACTATTATTGTGTTTTCATCAGTTTCTCCTTTTAGTTCTGTTAGCAATTGCTTTATATATTTTCGTGCTCTCTGATTAGGAACATATGTATTGATAAGTGTTGTGACATTTTGATGTATGCTCCCCTTTATCATTATGAAGTGTCCATCATTGTCTCCCTCTACCTTTTTTATCTTGAGGTCTATTTCATCAGATATAAGTATGGCTACCCCCGTTTTTCTCTGGATGCCATTTGCTTGGAATGTCATTTTCCACCATTTCACTTTGAGTCTATATTTGTCCTTGTAGCCGAGATGTGTCTCTTGAAGGCAGCATATAGTTGGGTTTTGTTTTTTGATCCAATCTGCTACTCTGTGCCTTTTTATCGGTTGAGTTCAGTCCATTTACATTTAGAGCGATTATTGAAATATGAGGTTTTCTTTATAACCATTTTATCTTTTGTTTTATGGTAGCTCGGTGTCTCCATTGTTTCTTTGCCTTGCATTTCTGTCCGTTATTTTAATTTGGTGGTATTTTATGGTTTTTCCCTCTGTTTCCTCGTTTTGTTATGTGTCTTGGTTTTGAATTTTTTGTATATGGTTATCATTAAGTTTCTGTAAAAGAAAGTTGTATTTACAAACATGCACAGTATTTCTTTTCCTTCTGCATGTGCCTTATCTCCATCCCCCTTTGCAGATTCAGAGCCTTACTCCCTTTATTTTTCTGCTTTTGTTCTCTCACATTATCCTCTTTTTGCTCTAGGTTGCAGGTAGCTGTTGTCTTCTTCTCTTTTTAAAGTGTTCTTTTTTTTACCTTTAACTATTATGTAATATTTAAGCTTATAATACCCTGTTCTTAATAAGGGTCACTTTCCTGTTTCTGTCTGTCTGTTGATCATCTTACTCCTAGTTATATATATATTTTTTTGTCTTTTTGTTCCAGGTAGAATGACCCCTTTCAGTATTTCCTGTAATGTAGGCCTTGTGGTAGAAAATTCCCTCAGCTTTCGTATGTCTGAAAACATGTTTATTTCTCCTTCATATCTAAAGGAGAACTTTGCTGGATATATTATTCTTGGCTAGTAATTTCTCTCAATAGTTTGAAGATTTGGTTCCACCCCCTCCTAGCTTGTAAAGTTTCTGCTGAAATGTCTGATAATAATCTAATGGATTTTCCTTTTTTAAGTTATTGTCTTCTTTTCCCCGGCTGCCTTGAAAATTCTTCGTCATTAATTTTTGGCAATTTTAAAATAATGTGTCTTGGAGAAGGCCTTTTTTGTGTTGAGATAATTAAGTGTTCTGTTTGCTTCATGGATTTAAGGATCCAGTTCTTTCTTTAAGTTTGGGAAATTCTCGTTGACTATTTGTTTTGAATAGGCTCTCTGTTCTCTTCTCCTTCTGGTATACCCATTATTCTTATATTGCTTTTTCTGATGGTGTCAGATAGTAGAGTTCTTTCACTTTTTTCACTCTCAAGTCTCTCTTCTTCCATCTGAGTCATTTCAAGATTTCTGTCTTTGATAGCACTAATTCATTTCTCCATGTAGTCAGCTCTATTCCCTAAGCTTGCTATTTTATCCTTAATCTCCTTTAATGAGTTCTTTGTCTCCAGAAGGTCTTTATTTTAGAGTTCCTTGGTAATGTGTACTTGTCGTTCATTGATTTTATTTGTAAGTTCTTGAACTGTTGATCAGAATTTTTTTTTTGCATCTCGTTAGATTTTTTCAGAAGTGCAGTTTCAAATTTTCTGTCATTTAAGTCACATATTTCTATATTTTAAAGCTTATTTTCTGGAGAAATTTTTTAATAGATTTTTTTTTCAGGTGAGGCAAGCCTTGGTTGACCTCACAGATTGCAAGTCCTTGTCATCTTACAATTCCTTGGGTTTTTTTTAATTTTTTACACCTACAGCACCTGGTCTTCCTAGGTGGTCTCCCATCTAAGTACTAACCAGGCCAGACCCTGCTTAGCTTCTGAGATCAGATAGGATTGGGCTTGTTCAAGGTAGCATGCCCGTAGACTGGAGATTTTTTATTTTCTTTCCAAGCTGCCTTATCACCTTGGTTGTTCATGGTGTTTAACGGACTATTTCTCTGCCTAGGCATTAATGGGAATATACTCTGCTTTTTTTAAAAAAAGATAATTTATTGTATAGTAATCTCTCTTTAGTAGGTTGATGAGGTTTTTCTTTCGATTTCCAGTAGATGGTGCCCAAGGCTCCTGCACTGCCCAAGCCCTTTGGATGTCTGCTTTGAGGTTAAAAATGCCCTTTATTCTCTGGGGAGATATGTATCTCCTCTGTGACCAGGTCACCTTGGTCCCAGGACTCCACCCCCATGGGAAAATGTGAAGGTTGATGGGGGTCTGAGCCTCTGCAAAGACCCTGAAGTCCTGGTACTGCCCCAATATTCAGATGCAATGCTTCACTTCTTCCTTCCAAATCAGCTGGACTGGGTGGAGGCGGGGTAGATTGCAAGAGGCCAGTGGTGTGTGTGGTTGTTTCCCTTCTGGTAATGCTGGCCCTTAAGGATCAGCTGCCTTGCTTCTATATTTCCACCCCTGTCACTGGGACTGGCTACAGTGTATAAACATTTCAGTTCTGGTTGCTGCAGATTCCCTTGGGACTTGTTGCTAGTGTTGGGAGGGTAGGGGGGTGGAGGGAGGGCACACTCTGGGATGGTAGGGGGAGGTGGCCAGGCTTCATGACTCAACTTTCTGCCTAGCAATGGCGATTGCTAAGACATAGCTGTCCTGATAACTGGGCTTTGCTGCATAGGATATGCTGATCACTCAGGTAGGACTGTTCAGGGCTTCAAAGAGCCAAAATACTGCCTTGTAGTTCCCCCTTCCCCCTCTTCCTGCAGAGAACTTTGGGCTCCATTCTGTAGCACCTGTCTTTGATCTTCTCTCCCTTTCCACCTTCCTGTCTCCTGTGATTGGCCCACCTTCCGATGCTCTGATGTGCAGATCTCTCAGACGAGCTTGTGTTCAGATTAAATGTTATTTGTTGAATTGTAGGTGTTCAACATGTAATTTCAAGGGGAGATCACTCACACATCCATGCTTCTGACGTCACTCCTTTTTTTTCATGTTTCACAACTTTAATGCAATATTCCTAAATATTCTGTACAAATTGAAAATAACATATTTTGTTACAGATATATTATCAGTAAGGGCAATGAACACTCTCTGGGCCTGGCAACAGTGTGGACCTGGTATCCCTGGCCTGCCAGGGACTGTGGTCACACACATGGAAACCCCGCATATCAGCCATAAATAGGTCACTCTGAACCCAAGGCTTTTAAAACAAGATGGATGTGGAGCTGAGAAATGGGAGCTGCAGAGAGGGTGACACACAACATTTACACACTGAGAGAGAGCCTCCAGCTCAAGACCCTCACCATAGTAGATGGGCAAATCCTGGCTCTGCTTACAACCCCATCCTCAAAGCCGAGCGTGGTCTGCATGTCACAGAAGCAAGTCCCTGGCATCATGGTAGGACGGGGTGCAGTTTCTCTCATACAGGACTCTCTCCTGGAGGAGAGAGTACTATCGCCGTCTTGTCAAGTTTCCAGGTCTCCAGTCAAAAACATACTCCGAGGACAATTGACAGCATGCGACCCAAGCCCTTATAGTATGAAAGAATAAATAAATATGGCGATGAAGCACACAAGCTCATGCCTCAGCAAGGTGTATGCCACAACCCCCACCCCACCCCAAGGAAAATAAAACCAAAGAAAAAGCACTCTGAGGATAAACAGGACCCCACTCTACAGCTCTCCTGAGATGATCAGATACAGAAGACCAAGAAGACCATGTGGATTTCTTCAAATGAAAGAAGAATCGATACAATGGTGGAAGTGGTGTAGTTGGTTCTAGATGCCCTGAAACCATGTTCTCGGACATCTGCCCTGGGTCTCAAGTGACCTCCCACCCCCAATGCCAATGTGGTCTGTAGGGCTCTCCCGAAGGCAGGGCCTGGGAAAGTCTACTGAGCCACACCCAAGGCCGTGTAAGTTACTTGAATTAAATCTATTCGTGAAAGGCATTTAAGTTGGCACTGTACAGGTTAAGCAAAATAATGACAAAGGAAAAGTTAAAATGAAAATCACACGCTTGAAAACAAGTGACATGTAAGCACTATCACTACAATGGTGTTGCAGCCATGATGAGACCTGGAAGTCACCTCTAAGTGGCAGCCACACTGGCGGAGGCTCACTTGCTTCTCACTGCTGTTTGCAGTCGGTTAATTTTGGCATCGTCCTCATCTTCTCCCTCCTCATGACTTTCTAATTCTTTCTCTTCTCCTTCCTTATCTTCAAAATTGTCAGCCTCTATGGTCTCTCCTGTGAAGTTCAGCACAGCTGGCACGACTGTCCGCTCATGAAACAAGTGTCCAATCCCTATGTCGGAGGCTAATGTGAATTCAGAGTCTTCATCCAGCGATTCTCCATCCCCAGATGCTTTCAGCAGATTGAAGAAGTTGAAAAATGAATTGTAGGGAACTTGTTTGGTAATTGTTCTGACAGTGCTTCGTCCCTCATGTTTCTGCTTTTTCTTGATCATTTTGACTGTGGCATTTTTTTCCCTTTCTTCCAGTCACTAGTGCAGTCATCACAGTCGAGTATTTCAGGAACTTCAAAGGAAAAGGGGCCTTATCTCGCTCCGACTTCACCTTGTACCATTTTTGTCAGGACTGAATTGGTAAAGTAGTCATTGGGTTCAAAGTGGAGCCATAATACAAAAGACAGAGACTGTCCAGGGTTGGAAATTTTCACTTTAATACCCTGCAGGTGTTTCAAGATTGACTCATCATATTCCTGGACTAAGTCACTTAGCATATATACATTTCTGAAGATAGTGAACCAGAAGCCCGCAATCCCTCTGGGGCTTGGTTCTTTTGCTTTGTGCCTTCTTTTTCTGCTATGACTATGTTTCACGTCTCCAGCCAATTTATTCTCCTCTTCATTCTCACTGTGCCATTCCGATTCTGCATCTGTCAGCTCAACATCATCAGTGACGAATTCCCTTCTCTTGTCAAAGAGAGGCTGATACAGTGCCATGTACTTCCTCTTCAGGTCATGGACCTCGTCATAGAACTTGGCTTGTGTGTGACCACACTTCCCCTGAAGTTGTTTCAATGCATCGATTCTTCTCTTTACTGCTTTAGGTAAAGTATTGATGTAACTCGAAGGAGCGTAGGAGACTGTCACGTTGTTCCTGTAAGGCTGCCAGCACCTGAGGATTCTGCATCACCTGATCTGTGAGTTTTTCTGAAGTATTTGCATTTTTAGCAGCATCCAAGGAATCTGAAGGAACCTCATCTGAAAACTAATCTATCATCTGAATGTTTTTTTTTCTCCTCACACCTCCTGTGGCAACAGTGGCTTCACTTCCATTCTTAATAAAAACCACAAGGGCTGGTGCAGTCACAATGTTGGTTATTGATAGACTGAGACCAGTACAAAACAAGTGTATGTAGATTTAACTTTTATTGTTGATTTCTCATCTAATTGTATTTTCAGATATTTTCACCTGTGACGTCAGTTCTTTGAAATTTGGTAAAACTTCCTTTATGTTCTGTTTCAGTGGCGCTCAAGGTCTAGGAAACAGAAGGCACATTCAACTGGGATTTTGACAAAAATGTATTTACAAGTATGTTGAGGGAGGTCACGGCACCTGTGAACTATCAACAGTGAAAAGGGGCTATTACAATCATCAAGCTTTAAGGGACAAAGGGAGGAAACAATATTACTGGAGCCCAGTGAGATGTAGAGCAGTAGGAACAGGATGCTTTATACAGAGATGCAGAAGCTGAAGTTATAGAAAGGCACCGCTACTGCCAGAATCATGGCAGCCACATAGGTAGGGAGGAAATGGGAAAATTACCCTAATCTCTCTTCATGTTTTCTTATTTTCTGCCAGTATCTTCCAGTAGGAAGCTAGAGTATAAGCAGTCCAGGTAATGCAACTTACAGGGGCTACCACCTAGAGCATAGGACAAAGGGGAGAAGGGCAGAGACTGGATGCTGGAGGGGAGCAAATGGAAAATAACCAGTGAATTTTGCGATGTGACACTGCATAATTGAATATGTCTTATTTTTTGCTTAAAAAGGAGTATGAATTTTTGTGTCAGCCATGATCCAACTAGGAAAACAGAAATCACTCGAAGTGTTTTACGAAGAGCAAATTTAACACAAAGAATTGTTTACCAGGTGACATTAATGCACGGAAATCAAATGAGAAGGTGAAACAGTCGTGAAATTAGCATTCCCAGTAGCTGCATCTCCTCTCAGTCTGGAGGGTCACAGAGAATAGATGATGGTATCAGAAACCAGAAACCAAGCTATCTTCATGAAACTGCTGTTCTGTCAGGGACATAAAAATTCCAGATTTTAATAATTTGGGGAGAATCGTCCTTTTTTTTTTATTGTTGTATCTCTTTTTCTGTGAGTGTTCTTTTCTGTGAGTGTACATTTTCTGTATTTATATTTTCATAGCTTTTTCTGTTAGTATTTCTCTTTAATATTTTTGTTTTATCTTCAAACTTTGTGTTGTTTTATTTATAGTATGGCTCTTTAAGTAGCCTATAACTGTACACTGTGTTATTTTAATCTGTTGCGATAGTCTATCTTTCAATGGATGAATCCAATCTGATTACATTTATTTTGATTGCTATTATTTTCCATTTTTTTTCTTGCCTCAAACTTGACATGATCACATGCAATGATCAAATGCTTTGCATTTTTGTCTGCCTGAGAGAGTATTTAGTGATGACTTTACCATGCACGTGAGAGGCTATAATTTGCTTTGTGGCAGACTTGACTTCATTTAGCATTAAAATAAAAGAAGGACCTGTAAAAATTTAATCTTAAATCCCTGTTACGCTTTGATCTGTCGGGTAGAATGGCTCATGGTAAGTTTGGATCTTATTCTAAGTATAGTGGGCATCTAGTTAAAATAGTTGAGAATATGGAAATGACATGTTTAGGTTTGAGAGAGAAAAGGATCACTCTGTCTAAAGCATCAATCGACTGTGGGGCTAGAGTGAAAGCAAGGAAACCAGTATTAAAAGAGAAAACCACAGGCCCAAAATGGAGTCACTTGTGCTAAAGCCCACGATACTGAAACTAGACTTAACACCAGAACTAACTGCAATGTTAACCTTCTCCAGTAATGTAATCTTCTTAATCAATAGTCTGGAATTGTCTGGCCAGTCCATTGAGGTAATCTGTCACATGTACTTTCTCCATCCCCCAAAGGAAGCTGAGGCAATCTGCCTAAGACCTCTGCCTAAGAGAAGGTAACCTTGCTTGAAACGATCATTTCTTTTGTTAATAACTTTCTTGTCCTATTCAGTTTCTACCTATAAAAGCCTTCTATATTGCATAGCTTCTCAAGGCCCCCCTCTACTTTCCTGATGGGATGCTGCCCATTCATAATAGCTCAATAAAGCCAATTAGACCTTCCGATTTACTCAACTGAATTTTTGTTCCTTAACACCAGTCACCCATGTAAGAGATGATGGTGAATTGGGCTAGGGTGGTAGTGGTGGAAGTGGTGACAAGTGGTCCAATTCTGGATG